TGCAAATACTACACCATTTTATTTAAGGGACTTGAGCATCCACGGATTTTGGTATTGCGAGGGTCCTGGAACGGATCCCCTGCAGATACCGAGGGACGACTGTATATATAATGTACACACACTCACACAGATCCTATTAGTTCTGTTTCTCTGGAGAACCCTGACTAGTACAGGGGCCGGCCTGGCCCAGCCCGGGGACCTCAGGGACCTCAGGGAAGGCTCACTCCACCTCACTCCTTAACTGAGTGCCTTGTTCTAGAGGCACGTGGCCTCTCTCGGTGTGGTGGCCCGGAGAACGTGCCCATAGACACCCAGTTACAAGGACGGAACTGAGCAGGGGCCACAGCCCCGTGCTCTGCAGTCCATCACCCCGTGTGTCCAGGATGGCTTTTTAGGGGCTGCTCACAGCCACGGCAGAGCACGGCAGGGAAGCTAAGGCAGGCTTGTTCCCAGACACAGGGCTCCTTGGGCTGACGCCGGCTCGAGGACCCCCTAGGGCCTTGCCGAACCTTCCTCGTACTGCACAGCAGCCAAGACACTTCCACCCAAACCTTGCCCCTCTCTTCTCCACTGGGGGTTGGATGAGCTTCCCGGCCTGCCTGCTCCCTCCACGTTTCTTTCACCGGCACTCACTCCAATAAATCCCCGCCCACTTAGTCCACTTGGTGACGCTTCTTGGAGGACCCGGCCTGACACAGTCAGTGACCCAGACACAGAAGTCCGAGCTCCGGTGGAGCCCCACTGAGCCTTCGGGGGTGGGTAGGAATAAGCTGGACAAAAGGAAGGCCGAGCATTTTCGACAAGGCCGGCATCTCCCGGGCCTCTCCATAGCCATTTGAGACAGGCCGAGTATTACAACACAGCATGGAAGGATCTCTGCAAGGCCCAGGACCTCTCTGTGGGACCCCAAGGTCCCGGCGGGGTCCAGGATGCCCATGGCTTCTATGGGCGGCTGTTTCCTTCACCCTCTTGATAAGGACCTATTTGATAAACAACAAATGTTTGATTGACTGATTTCAGCCGCCTAATTATAATCACACAGCTGATGTTGCTACAGTGTTTTTGCACACTGCAAAGCATCGTCACATCCATGATCTTCTTTGATCATCCTTCTGGTCCCTGGAGACAGGCGTCTGTATTACTGCCGTTTCGCAGGTGAGAAAACTGAGCCTCGTCCAAGACGATGAGCAACTTGCCTGGGCTCACACGGCTATGGCGTGGGATGCAGAGGGTGGAACTCAGCTCCTCTGACTCCTCCTCCACCTGGGCACACACCGTGGCACCGTGGCACACAGGGGCCTCCCAGAAAGCCAGAGAGCATCAAAACAGCAGCAGTGACGTTACCAGGTACAAAGGAGGAAAGAAAAGTGTATAAACTGAACGGCTGACACCAGAATGTCTCTTAAGGAAAGAACTGGTTTGGCTGAGAAAAATATTTTGACAAACACCTGGGTTGAAAGATGTTTGCGGAACATTTGCACAGCAGCTGGTTCCAGCTTCAGAAGGGGAGGGAAGCGGCTCCACACACCAGAAGGAAAGAACCTGGAGCTGCAGGGGCCGTCTGAGGAGGCGGGGCATAAGGAGCAGAGGCAGAGGGAAGAGGAGGCGGGGAGAGGCAGGAAGCCGGGTACCTGGAGTAGCGAGCCCTGTCTGACATCTTCAATACGACTCTCAACACTTAGTGATTCGGCATGCGTGATTGCTGCTGGGGTGTCTGAGGAAACCAAAGCAGGCGCTGAAGTTCAGGTTGGGGTCATCATGATTTAAGACAAAGCCGCATGCAAGGATGCTGGTGCCCAAGGCGGCTCGAGGCCTAGAAACACTCAGGACTTCAAAGACTTCTTAAAGACTTCTTGAACTTCCCTGTGAGGTGGAATTGGGGGTACAGGCAATTCCTCCCAGCTCTAGGGGCATGAAGACCCCCCAGCAGACTCAGGGGCTGCACAAGAATGGCACCACCCACAGGCACAATACAGAAAGCATCCTCTGCTTTGCTGGAGCCCTCGACAATCCCCTAAATTTAAAGCGAGTCTAGCCATCAACGCTCAGTCGCTTGCTCTTGGAATGAAGAAGTGTATGAGCAATTTCAAGGCATATCTTTGTGCTCTGGGAGCTTAGGGCTTTTACAGAGTGGCTTCTGAGCTATGTTTTCCTGCCCCTTTTGACCCTTGGGTGTTTGTGGAAAGGCGCCTGTCTCCCTGGGCTGCTGGTCCTTTGCTCAGCAGCCCGTCCCACCAGCGGGCTCTCTAGCCAGGGAAAAGTGAGCCTTGGAGACAGCTGTCCAAGGGGTAAAGTGGGGAGATGCTCAGAGGTCACTCATCCCGGCTCACACTGTAAAAATGAAAACAGAGCAACAATGAGGGAGGGCCTTGGTCTTCCCAGAGCAGGTGACTGTGCTGGCAGAGGCAGAGATAAGACCTTGGGGGGACTGTGTCTCCTCCTCCTTCTGCCACGTCCCTCTGCCAGGTTCAGGAGATGGCACCATCTTTCCAGCACTCAAGTGCAAGCACAGGGCACCAAACTCTCTCTCTTCTGTCTCCAGTCATCTCCAGGTGGACACGGTGTGCCAGGAGCCTCCAGATAAGAGCAGAGCCTGGGAAGGTGGGCTGCCCCAGGGCTTCCTTCTCGGGCACTTGGTTTTTGGGGGATGCATTTGGTGGGGAGGAGGCTGCGGGGGACAGGCTCAGCTGGGACATCCTTCCTTATCAAGAGCCTTCGCGGCACAGAGCACAGCTCCCTCACTCAGCAGGGGTCTCCACCCACACCTGCCTTCTTCCCATCCTGTCCTACTGGTCTCTATTATTCCTACACTTCTGTGATCACATGGGTTTATTTTATGTTCTATTTTTCTCCCCACTGAGCATTAGTCCTAAGCATGCCTTCACAACGCCACAATCATCTTATAATCGTTAAATAAGTGAATCAAGTTGGCTGCTCTTTTTCCCCATTGCCTGGGACAATGCCCAGCACAGTAAACATCCACTGTTTGCTGAATGTCTGGAGTGAAATTAGCACTTTTACTAGTACAGGTGCAAATTTCAATATTCTCTTTCAACCTAGCAAATATCTTTGTTCTTTTTATAAAGCACACATGTAATATTTATCATTTTTTCACAACTAGCCTCTCCCTCACTCCCTACTGTGCTAGGAAATAAATATTTTAAGCCCTGTTCACTGTCCGGCATTTACATGCACTGCCCAGTCCAACTGTGCTTAACTGAAGCGCTTCCCAAAAGTTCTTCCCAAGTGGAGGGGCATCCTCCCACACCAGGAGAGAGAGCTGGAGGAATCACCATCTTCCAACAATCCACAGCCCCTCCACTTTCCAGAATCAGGTCCCCTTGGCTCTCTCTCAGCTACCTTCTTTTCGTTCCAGAGCCTCCACCATCTGACAAGCAGCCTCCTTCGCTAAAGCGTGACTTCTGGATGGGAAGTCCCCCAGAATACTATCCGGTGGTGTCCCTCTGTGTGTGAGGGTGGTGGGAGGAAAACAACCTTCGGGTCCCAATCCTTCTGTCACTTACTGGCTGTGTGTTGTGGGAGGGGTTATTAACCAGGGTCCCCCGCGGGCTTCTGGGGCAGAGAGGGCTCAAGTCCCACCCCCACCACCACCTCACGCAAATTTTGTGTATATGGGTACTCTGTTGAAGAAAGATCTGTCATTCCCATCACATTTTTAAAGGCCTCTAGAAACCAAAAACCATATAACCACAGCCTTGGGCAAGTCACTTCGGTAAGCCTCAGTTTCTTCATCCACAAACTGAAAGTAATGATAATGTTCTCTGATTTCACTTTATAGAAATGTTGTAAATGAGAAAATGGATCCAAACCATAACTGCTAGACAAATAGAGGCAATTATTAATATTTCATTACTCCCATTTGTTAACTCAGAAAATACTTACGTTGTTTGGATTTTAAAAGATGTTGCACAAATTATATTTAAGTAAAGACTACATATAATTCTCAATTTTTTCTTGGATGTGGACATTAGTGAAACTTAGATTAGAGGATAGGCTATGGATAGAAAATGGACAGAGTCCTCAGTAACAATGACAGCAGACAATACTATGAACCTTACATACATCATCTAATTTAATCCTTACAACAAGCCCATGAGGGAGGTTTATATCATTTCCTTCTTACAGATGAGGATTCTGAAGCTCAGAAAGGTTAAAAGAATGGCTCAAGGTCAGACAGCAGAGCTGGGATGTCAAGGGCATTGCTAATTATTCCAACCCCTCATGCTTAACCAGGACCCTGTCAACTGTGTCTTGTTTTGTGAAAAGAATGGGAATGCTGGTGTTCATTCTACGTTGTCTACCTCTAGGCAAAATGATTTTTGCTTTCCCGGGCTCTGTAGAAATGCTTCTGATTCTGAAAGCTGGGCTTTGCATCTGACCCAGCACTTCACCATTCGGAAAATTTAAAGAAAGCTACCTCAGATGACTCCCCAGCCCCACCCTGGGCCTCATGTTTCTCTCCTGTAAAACAGGTATACTTCTGTCTCCCTCCGGGGCTGCTGGGAACGTTCTGGTGGGTCACAGTGCAGAGGCACCAGTCCAGTGCTGGTGTGATATTTGTGCTCGTTCTGTGCTTTTATATTTCCTTTCCTTTCATGTGAATGTTAAGACAGGAGAACTGGTCAGTGGAAGAGAGGAGTGGAGGGAGGGCCGAGACAGACCTAAACCACTAAGAAATCTGCATTCATGTCCTCTCTGTGGTGGGGACCACCAGAGACGCAGCAATGCAGAGACACTGCAGAGAAGTGAGCAGACTTGGGTCTTATCTTGCTCTGCCCTGGCTTTTCCAGGCTCCCTGTGTGACCCATGTCCCCTCCCTGGGCCACCTGTAGCAGGCTGTTGGGAAGATGAAACTACATAGGGTGTCCTAGGGCACCCAGTACAGCCCTGCAGAGAGGGATGGCCCAGATCTCAGCACGTTGGACAGCGCTGACCCCGAGAAGAGGCTGGAGCTGCCTGGGAAGGGCAAATGCCCCTACCTTGCTTGGCTCCCACCTGGTTGTGCTTCTCAAGGAGCAGGTAGCGTGGGCTCTCGGGGAGAAAGGGCAAGCTCACCAGCTGGACCACGGCGGGGACGGCATTCATTCCAAACAGGTACGGCCAGGTGCTCTCCTGAAGGGACAAGAGGAGGCCAATGAGTGGACGTGGCCTTTGGTCATTATCCTGGGGCTAGGCCACTGGGTGAAGCAGCTGCAGCTCTCTGCAGAAGGGCCCGCTGCTCCGTGTGATCCCCTGAACAGAGGCCAAGGGAGGGAACAGACACTGGGCTAGCACCAGCCCCGCGTGTCTGGCATTCTCCATGCAAGAGGTCGGTGAATCTACCTGGGAGGTGGTGACCTGAGGGGTAGCTCTGAGAAGGAGGAGTTCAGAGGGGCCGAGGGCTGGCTGACCCCACGACCCCTGGGGCATCACAGCAAGCCTGAAGAGGCTCTGCTCTTTCCCGGTTGTGTGGCCTTGGAAACTATTCTCACGGGCCCTTGGAATCTCTTTCTCTTCACCTGTTGGATGGGGCCAGCCACAGCCGCTTCTCAGGCTCTTGTGAGAGCGGGATCAGATAGTGCTTTGACTGTGGGGCCTGGCACACAGTAGGTGCACGGAGGAAATCACTGCTTATGTTGGTGCCACCCCCAGACGCCTCCAAGGCCCACAATATCTGACCCGTCTTGCTCCTGTGAGTGTACCTTCAAGAAGGGTGGCTGCTAACGCTTTCCCAATTCCCTACAGAAGTGAGGGTGGGAGGGCCCGGGGGTACAGCCCACCTCTTAGGCAGGAGGAACTTTTCACTTTCCAGGCGGCTGGGAAAGGCAAGCAGGGCCCCACGACATGCATATTCAAGAGGCATTTGAGTAGCTTCCAGCAGCAGCACCATTCAGCTCTAATGCAGCTTGAATGCAGCACGAGCCCTGGTACTGTGCCCATTAAGGCCGCATTCTTCCTGATCTGCTTTTTTTTTTTTAATCCAGGTTTACAAATAAGCTCTCGCTGTGCCTCTGAAAGGAAAGATTATCAATGCGAGGCAGTTCTGATGGGGAAAGAGATGAAAAGCAAAATGCTCAGTGCCAAATTCTTGACATGTTTTACTTCCTAAGAAAATAAAAGGAGACTGCCAAGGAGAAAGTAAGACGCGGCCAGACCTGAAAAGACTTCGCACAATGGGCGAAGGCTCAGTGGGCTTCAGGTCAGGAACCTACAGGATTGTGTCCACAGGACACTTGAGAGCCAAACTGACAGCACCCTGGGCATCAATCTCCCCGTCTCTCTGACGGTTGTTCTCTTGGAGGTGGAATCTCCCTGTGGTGCCCTCCCAAGGTTCGCTTACCCTGGGCTCCTTGATGACAGAGGCCCCATGTGAGCTCTTGGGTCACTTGAGGGTAGAGTGGGCAGATACCCCTGAAGCAGAGCAGGGGAGTGGCCTGTCCAAGCATAAGTGCCCTCCGGTTCGTCCAGGTCCTGATTTGCAAGGTACCTTCGATTCTACTCCCCTTTCTGTACATAATAGCGATTTATATCCACAAAACTCCTCTGATTTCACCAGCCAGCACAGTTCTGTAACCATGGGCCCACTAGAACCAGTTCAACTGACCCATCTTATCAACAGAGTAATTAGGAGTTGTCTTTCAGGAACTGAGAGTTCCCCCCTTGTCCAGTTCAGGCCGGTTGAGACCATCAAGTGGGCCTGTGCAAATGCCCGATAAGTGATCTTTTTGACATCAAGAGGCTGAAAACTCCACCCTCAGATCATACTAACGCCACCATTTTGTGAACATGCATCCTACGAAGAGCCATGAAGCTTGACTACGCTTGCGTAGATCATCAATTACCCCACTTCTCCTCACCTCTCCAATCGTCCATCTCCACACTTCAGACTGCCCTTCCCTTCATCCCATAAATTTTGCCCCAAGCCTTGGACCAGGGAGACAGATCTGAGAGCTGTTTGATTTCTGCAGATTGATCTAGCAATAAGGCTGTTTTCTTTTCCCAAAAGCTGATTCTATAATAATTGGCTTTTTTTTATATGCCTTGGGGAGGACAACTCCAATTTTGTGTGGTAACAGTTCTTCTATTGCCCTGCAAAGGACTGGTCAGGCCAATGCCAGCTTTTCAGTTTGGTGGAGAGCTCCATGTCAGAGACCAGGAGAGGAGACAGAAGGCAGATCAATGGTTGGCAGGGGCCGGAGGGAGCGAGGAGTGGGGAAGTGACTGCTAGTGGGTGTGGGTTGCTTTTTCTAGGTGACGAAAATATTCTGGAATTAGAAAGGAGTGATGGTTGCACAACTTTGTGAATATATTAAAAACCACTTTAAAAGGGTAAATTTTATTGTATGTGAATTATATCTCAATTTTTAAAAAATATAATGGAATAAAAAAATGACATATATAAGTGTAATTTTCACTACACCTTTTTTGGTGTGTGTATGTTGTTGTTTATTTTGTTTCCACTTAGAGTTTGGCTTGTCAAAAATCACAATAGTGGAGCCATTTTACAATGGAGTTGGAGCCGCCTGTCCAGAGAAACCGCCTTGCTGCCTTGAACCTGGGACGGGGCCAAAGTTCTGGACGGGGCCAGAACGGCAATTGTTTACCAGCAGTCGTCTGAGAGTCAGCAGAGGAACGGACATCCTGGTCACAGAGACTGAGGCTGGTGGGCTTTCTGAAGATGGAACCAATAGTCACCAATGTGTAGCCAAGACTAGCTTCTGCCTCCAACACCAGTAAACATTCTTTGTGACACAACCTCCCTTCTTTGCCTTTAAGCCCCTGACTTTTACTGTCTAGTGGGACACTATTTGGGTTTCTACCTGAATCTGTGTTCCCCAAATTACAACTCTTCGATCCCAAATAAATACTTTGCCTCTTAAACTGGTTTCTGTTTTTGCAGATCGACAGGCTGCTGCCTCAGTAAGAGCAAAAACAGAAAGATGGGAAAAAAGACAAGGGAATCAACCCAATTAAGCTCCTACTATGTGCCAGACGTGGAGTGAGCTTGTCACATCATTGTCTCGTTCAACCTCCCAGCAGCCGGGAGAGGCTGGTGCTACTGCTGCACGCTTAGTATGTGATGACGGACATGCTTGTGCTGAGGGCTGCCAGCCAGGAGCCGCACAGGTGGGAAAGAAGCCCAAGATTTTCCCACGGCATCATAATAGAGGGGCACCTCCCAGAAGTGGCGTCCTTGGAGGTGTCACTGGGTGGAAGGAGAAGATGAGCCGGAAGGGCACTCCTGGAATAGGAACACCTTGTACAGATGTGCAGAGGTAGTATCCACCCAGGCTCATTGGGCAACAATAACTACAGCAGGATTGTGAGGCCAGGGGATGCTGGAGACGTGGGAGCTGAGGCTGGAGCCTCAGATGGAGGCCGGGTCATGGGTGCTTTGCTGGTATTCCATGGCACGTGGACCTGGGTCTGAGGACAACTAGGATCCTTTGAAGCATCTACACACTTAACTGAGATGGACACCCTCTATTTCCTTGAATCTACAGTCTGGCATTTCTGGAACCATGCAGTCGGGGAGTACACTGCATGGATTCCTATTATTACCGAGAAGCCCAGCCTGTGGTACAGCCTGTGATCCACGGCATCTTAGAAACAAGCACACGTGGAATCTTCCCTAAGGATGATGGCTTGGGTAGCTGTGGTCTGGTCTCCACTTCTGGAGAAAAGCAGACGCTACTGACCCCAGGGTGGGTGACCCCCAGCTTGGGTCGCTGACAGTGTGTGGACTGGAGGAGGAGAAGGGCAGGAGCGGCCTGAGTAGAGCTCGGGCCACAGTTTACTCAGGAGGGGCTGAGCTTAGCCAAGAGCGGAGTTCCTGACCTTGGCTTTTTCTGGACTGCTCAGAGATTTCCTGGAAGCGTTAGTTAGCCACAGCGAGAGGTGTTGTATTGAAGAGTGATTCTTGCCCATCTTCTGCCAAGAAAAGAGTGATCGGGAGTGTGGATAGGCAAGCATTTTAACTGGAATGTTTCAGCCCACGTTATACCCTGTGACCCACCCAAATGATAATCAAAATAGCCCTGAGGCCCTGCATATACAGAAGGCTGCACAAGTGCTTTATCTAAGTATTTCTAGTAATGAATAGACATGTCTCCTCTGCTGACGATGGTGGCAATGACATAATCACCACCGTGGACATGAGTAGTAGCTTGCAGCCTGGGCCAAGGCCATCTAGTGGCCTGGTGGTGAAGGGCACAGCTCCCGAGCAGGCTGTCTGGATTTGAATTCTGCCTCTATTCCCCACTCTCTGTGACCCTGGGCAAGCGACTTAACTGCCCAGGCCTCAGTTTTCTCATCTGTAGAATGGGGATAATGCCTATTCATTGGTTGTTGGGAGGGTTAGATGAGTTACTAGATGCATGAAGTGCCCAGCACAGGACTCCACACACTGCGAGCCTTCAGCAGGAAAGAGCGGTTTGTATCATCAAGCACGGCGGGAGGCACGTTACGTAGATTATCTCCTCGAATCCTCACGATCCCTCTAAGATAGAGCCCATTATTATCCCCATTTTACAGAAATATTCATGGCAGCACAGAGAGGTTAAATGTCTCATCGGGGCCACAATTCCATCAGAGGCAGGACTGAACCCCGGGTCTCAGATCCCAGAACCCAAGTTCTGATCCATGAAGCCTGACCACAGGTGCCTCAGTGATCAGGGAGGGGCCACGAGGCTGCCAGACCCAGGAGATCCGACCTTCTTCCATCTGCCTCAGGCCAAAGAACCCTTGGTGGCCCTCAAAGGTGCTCCCAGGGAACCTGGTCCCAGCATGGAGCCGAGGACTCAGCATTTCACATTACACTTGAGACTTCCTGCCGTCTGAGGGCAGAGACCGTGCCCGGCACGCAGTAGCTGTTCAACAACTATCTGTTGGAGGAACGAGCATGTGTGGGAAGGGGCTTCCTTACACACCGATCACTTTACACAGACCCCTGGCCATTTGCAGGGGCAGCCCCTCACTCTTTTTTTCAGGAGCTGTTCAAGCAAGGAGACATGTTTTAAGAAACATGTACTACTTCCCTAACACAGGACCACGAGGTGCTTCCAAAAGTTAATCTCAGAGGAGTCTTGGAGGTGCCAGCTAGAGGCTGGTGTGTTCAGCAAAGCATGAGGTCA